CAGGCTCTCTCCAGCCCGCCCAGATTTGCGTCTTTCGCTTGAGACATGCACATGCAAGCCCTGCTAGAAACATGTTCGGTACCACATTAAATCGCCGGGGGCAGACCTGCCTGCTGGAAACGAACCTCGCATATCTGAAATCGCTCGAGGTAGACTCAATATGACGAAATAGGTCGAAACAGATTCGATACCTGGTCACTGGAATGCGCTCGGGTGCTCGCTCCTCAAGGCCTCGCCGACACGCGCCGTCGATCGCGGTGGCAGCATGATCGCTTGCGGTTGGTTTCGTCACTGGAAGGCATTTTAACATCGTTAGCCATTCATCATGGATTTCACGAGCTGTCGAAAGCAGACTGTGCACTGTGATTAACAGGGCATGCCCCGTGTCACCTTTAGACCTGGTTTGTCGTTAGGGCTTTACAACACACTCAGCAGCTGAGGCCATATGGCGTCGCCGGCCTCTCAACATGGCAAGAAGGGCGGACACCGCGGGTAACTCAATGTCATACCTTTGGTTTCCCAGACGCGCAGCTTAATCAGTACAGCCACAGTAATCTGCGCTGAAACCCCAGCGGACAGTGTGATATTAAGTATGAAACAACCGTGTCTGAGTGGTTCGACATTGTTAAACGGTTCGCGTTCCGCGCCGGAAAAAGCCGACCTCAACACACATTTGTGTGCTTTTAGCAGGCTTTCACCCCACAACCGGAAGCATTGAATTGCCTATGAAATGCTTGTGGTGCCACGTTTGTCGGTTTGTTGTGTGCTGTAATGTCGAGTTCAGTCCCACATTCCCAACACTGATGCCATCTCCTCCCTGGCAGGGCCGACCGCGAAGGCCGCTGTTGTCGGCAACAGGGCTCGAGCGTAGGGCCGCCGCGAGCGTAGTGTGGCCGTCCCCGGGCATTGGCTGTCGCGGGCGTAGTGTGGCCGTCCCCGGGCATTGGCTGCCGCGGGCGTAGTGTGGCCGTCCCCGGGCCTTGGCCGCCGCGGGCGTAGTGTGGCCGTCCGCGGGCATTGGCTGCCGCGGGCGTAGTAGGGTCGTCCCCGGGCCTTGGCTGCTGCGGGCGTAGTAGGGTCGCCGCAGGCGTGGGGCTGCCGCGGGTGTGGGGTCGCCACGGGCGTAGTAGGGCCGCCCCGAGCGTTGGCTGCCGCGGTCGTTGTAGTCGCCGCAGGCGTGGCGTTGCCGCGGGCGAAGTAGGGCTGCTGCGGGCGTAGGGCCTCCGCGCGTGGGTCGCCGCGGGCGAAGGGCCGCTGCGGGCGAGGGGCCTCCGCGGGCACAGGGCCGCTGTAGCAGCCCAGATCGCATAATGCCACCACCCGTCAGCTGACTATGACGTAGGAGGGCGGCAGGAGTATGCTGATTACGTGTGGTCTTTGGACGCAGGCCACCTCGCCATTCTGTCAGAGACGGATGTCCGTACTCGGCGCGGAAAAGCGATGCACTCCTCGGAATCGATCAAGCCAGATGGCTCCTGAGAATCGATTTGACGAGTGCTGCGAGAAGCGGCTTGAGTGCACTGAATAACTGTTACGTGCACCCATGTCATTTGCCAGGGCAAATTGAAGTTGCTGCGACAGCTTCCACCCAACCCACGAAATTTGGGACCGACCATGATGTGAGTTCACTCCACTCCATAAGCTTAGCAACCAAATTGTACGCATGTGAACCGATCACATCGCTGGGTTGATAAGATGTGTCATCGCATCGCATTGATAAGATGTGTCATGACATCTGTGCGCTTTTGTCGCCGAGAATAAGGCAGTACTGTAGGTGGGTGGTGGAATTATGTTGGCACTAAATCTGATTCCAAACGGTGCTTTTTGATGTAACAGCTGCGTCAACAGGCACTGGGAAATGTCTCAGATCGCCCACCTGGATCCAACATCACAAGCAGTGGCGCAAAGTGAGATGTTTATCGTGGAGAAGCTTTGCTATGGTGGGATCGTTGGTGATCTTCACTACTGTATACCTTATATCTGCAATGATTCACATCTTCGATGAAACCTCCTTAAATCCAGAAGGCGTCTGTTGCAGTGGATCTTAACGGCACGCTCGATTAAGACATCGAGTTATCGTTGAGCAGGCTAAACACTGAGCCCCAGTGTCCACATCGCCATTCTAAATCACGTTTCCCCTCACAACGGGGCACATGGGATGTGGCTGGAAAGGCTCATGCCAAGCGAACTGAACACAAAGGACACGCCATTCGTGAAACGGAAGACATCGGTCCGAAAACTGGATCCTTGTGGGGACAGATATGCTTAAACGTCGCGTGGTGCCCCCAGTGTAGCGCATTGGGCCACTTCCACATGCTCAAAAGATGATGAGTGGTGGAGTTTTGCGAATGAATGCATCTTGCGTCCGCTGGATTCCGATTGGCTGGTGGTGCGATAAGAGCCCGTAGGATTCAAGCCTGGCAGGTGGAAGAAATGGTGCTGTAGATTGATGGCATATGAGGTCTTGAAGCAAGCTAGCCAACGTATTCAGCGGACAAGATTATCGCTACAACAGGTGAATAATCTCAATTTGGTTCGCGAGAACATCACATGTTTGAAGTTCTGGTGGACTACTGACGTTTTAAGGGCGCTTTCCACCACGTACCCTCTCACTTTGTTCCACTGCGTGTCCTGATAGGTCTCCTGAGTGGACAAGCCGAGGCGCTCCCATGCACGGCAGTTTTCCAGCTGCATTTTCATGCTATGCTGCGCTTGGATGTTGTGTACGAGCTTCAGGAAAGCACTAGGTAACCACCAAATCTTGAATATGAAAGCACAGGTTGAGAAAATGTAGCCGTATCAGAGACCACATCGAAAACCAAGCATCCAGGCATACTCGTGCAGCCGATGCTCGCATATTTTATGCAAGCAGTAAAGGTTGACGGCTTTTTGAACGATGCGCAATTGCGCGCGTTAATCCGAACCCGGTGCCGCCTCTGTACAGTTCCTGCAGGGAGCTTGGCGGAGGGTGATGAAGAGAGGCAGAGAGGCCCATAATACGGTCCGGATCATCCGACGTCGCTGCGCTGATGAAGGGGAACGGTGGGAGGAGCTATTCTCCGCGCCGCACGAGTCGTCGGTAGATAGCTGTTGACGCAGTGGATTACGCGACATGCCGAATACGAATCCCGTGCGATCCAGACATGGGATGCGTGATTCCAGCGTGGAACGTATGATCTTGATGAGATGGCGTTGTGAATTTAGGTGTGTGCGAGCTGAGAGGTCACTCGGGATCATGTGCCTCTGACATGGGACGCGTAATGCCGATTGCGGGCGTGTAATCATACATGGAAATTTGAACCCGACATGGACACACTCAAACCCAACATGGGACTCGTGTGCCCGATGATGCTTGCCCCGCTCCTGGGACTGAGCCCGATGACGCTTGCCCCGCTCCCGGGACTGAGCCCGATGACGCTTGCCCCGCTCCTGGGACTGAGTCCGATGACGCTTGCCCCACTCCTGGGACTGAGCCCGTCTGGCGTGGCGGAGACATGGACGGGCCTCTTCTGGTCGCGACACCCGCCTTCCGCGCTCTGTGGTGGATCCCGTCTACGGGTCTCTCCCAGACGACCGTCGGCGCACGGGGAGGGTTTGATCCGCTCTTGCGGTGGCTTTCGAGCCATCCTTCGCCCAGTTTGCGCGGGAGGATTATTGCTCCTCAGGGCCGGCAGAGGCCTGGGCGGTGATGCTATTGGCTCTGGAGCGGCGTCGTTTATCTTGCTCTCATTTTGTCGGCAGCGGGAGAGCACATGGTCATCAGCTGCTCTGAGAGCTTGCCGCTAATTAAGAAAATGAATACGGCGCCGTTATGTGTGCGGCCTAGCGGTTTATCGACCAGCAAATTTACGACATTGTGCTCTCACACTCTCGCCTCGCCCTCTGGAAAATCTTCATGCTAAATTTGCTTTTCTTTACGACCCCAGCAGGCTCAAGTCTGGGCTGTAAAGCCGGTGGACACAGCGTTAGCGCAGCAACGGGGACCGGAGATAGGAGATCAGCTGCTTGAGGACGAGGTAGTGTGAGCTATGACCATTAAGTACATGGATAGAGCTATGAACCTGTTGGGTAAGGCTTTGGTCCCACGTTTGCCTCAGTCTTCAATGTCAGGCGGACATCACCCCAGAAGTGGCTGAAAGGTACTTTGGCTGAAAAAAGGCTGTGTCTTTTCGAGCATTTACCATTATCATCCTTCCATGCAGAGCAGGGACGTAGGTTAACAGCGACATTGATTCGGCCGTTACAAATGTCGATCACGACGGGAACTTCCGTTCGGGATTGCGAACTTCGCCTTCGGGCTGCGATGCTCGAATCATTCGCGGCCCTCCGTGGATTTGACGGGATCAATATGGCACCCTCGTTCGGAAAATAAGCCCGGTCTGAAGGGCGCCGGCAGAGTTCCAGCTGAACGGTTCTCGGGATGTTCCGGTGGGGGTTTTATCGGGAGCGGAAGGAACCGTTCAAATGACAAATGACCGTGATCTAAAGGTTATGGGTGACGCAACTGTCCATACCATTCGTTGTCTCCGATTTGACAGTGTTCTACTATCGGTTGTTGAATACAATTTTGGGAAAAAGAGTTGCACACACTCAACAGTTTAGTTCTTTTGCAGCTCCTCTACAGCAGGTTCGCAGGAGTAACAGACGGCTTTGCGTCAGCGGGCAGCTGGATGATGAAGATATCCAACACCATTAAAACCAGCGTACTGCCGATGTTGATCCCGTGAATGGACATACATTCATCTTGTCTAAATATGTACTAAACGGGCATGCTGTACCCCAGCATAGCACTTGATCTCCTGATCCCGGCCCCTTCGTCGGGCCCAATATCTCAGGCCCCTCCGCTGCCATCGCAGCCTCGTCGGCTCCAACGCCTCCCTCATCTCCTGTCCTAGCCTCGTCGGCTCCAGCGCCTCCCTCATCTCCCGTCCTAGCCTCGTCGGCCCTGACGGCTCCCTCACCTCCCGTCCCAGCCCCGTCGGCCCCGACGGCTCCCTCACCTCCTGTCCCAGCCCCGTCGGCTCCGACGCCTCCCTCATCTCCTGTCCTAGCCTCGTCGGCTCCAGCGCCTCCCTCATCTCCCGTCCTAGCCTCGTCGGCCCTGACGGCTCCCTCACCTCCCGTCCCAGCCCCGTCGGCCCCGACGGCTCCCTCACCTCCCGTCCCAGCCCCGTCGGCTCTGACGCCTCCCTCACCTCCCGTCCCAGCCCCGTCGGCTCCAACGCCTCCCTCATCTCCTGTCCTAGCCTCGTCGGCTCCAGCGCCTCCCTCATCTCCCGTCCTAGCCTCGTCGGCCCTGACGGCTCCTTCACCTCCCGTCCCAGCCCCGTCGGCCCCGACGGCTCCCTCACCTCCCGTCCCAGCCCCGTCGGCCCCGACGGCTCCCTCACCTCCCGTCCCAGCCCCGTCGGCGCCGACGCCTCCCTCATCTCCCGTCCCAGCTTCGTCGGCTCCGACGCCTCCCTCATCTCCCGTCCCAGCTTCGTCGGCTCCGACGCCTCCCTCATCTCCCGTCCCAGCTTCGTCGGCTCCGACGCCTCCCTCATCTCCCGTCCCAGCTTCGTCGGCTCCGACGCCTCCCTCCTGTCCCACCACTCCGGCCTGCCGTCGGGTCGAGGCGGGCTCCAACTCCGGCAGATCCAATTAGAATATTTGAAAAGACTTATCACGTACGGCATAGACAAGTCCCTCAAGAGGCCGGATCAGCCAGAGATTAAAATGCAATTTGGGACGTGCCAGTGTTCGTCGAAATGGAAATCTCAGTGATGTATACCGAGATCCCTCCGGCATATTTATGCATTCACGAGACTGATTTTATGACAAAATGCCTCGATGGGAGTATGGTTTTATCTTTCTGGGATAAATGACAGCTGTGTTTTGTTACCAATGACATGTGATAGATGACAGCTGTGTTACCAAGGCTTCGAACACCTGCAATATAGTTGCATGTATCGCACAAGTTCTCGTCATGGTCCGCGACACTTTGCCAGTGTTATCGCATGCACGAACCTACCTAACATGAGGATGGTTGCGCCTTCAAGTGTAGGTTAGAGACAAAGTAATTCATCAGCTTTTACTAGCACTTGTCTGGGTTTTTCACCGAATAGCAATAAACTAGCCCTGTCTTGAGCAAGGAAGTCCTTGAGTAAGGCCGTACGTAATGATCTAATCCCATGACAACGAAACGTGACCAATACGGCTATATTTATAGGATATTCGGAGGTGTCTCGCAGGCCGTTCATGTGTCGTATTTTTAAAAGTTCTTACATTTTCATGAGGTGTAGCCACGGACACATCCAGGATGGAGAGGTACGTCGGTGGGCCATGAAGGCAACGGATAGAAATATCCTGACTGAAAACGCATATAGCTAAGTAGAAAAACCCCATGGAAGGTTTCCACAGTATAAGGTTAAGCTTTTACAGATAAGGTCACTTTTGCTGCCCTTGTGAAGTGCAGACTCGTAACCACGATTTCTCGGCAATCTGTGTATGAAACTTTCTAAGAATACGGACAAAATACATCCTTTTTTTGTTATAACTGGAAGTGGACGACAAATAATATTTTAGACAGGCCGCGCGCCGGATGAAGTTGATTCAGAACATGCGATGAATGCATTCGCATGAGAGTTTTCCACGTAGGGTTTTTTGAACTGACAATCATTTTGAAGAGCATTCATTACACCTCACAGCTCTGTCCTTTCAAACATCTAAAATATTGTAGTTTCTCACCCACGCGCCCGCAAAGACGTGCAGACTATTTTGCGCAGACTATTTCAAGGTCACTTGGGCATACATGACGCATAACCACGCCATCCAAATCCTGCCTTTTCATTGTCCATTCGTGGACAAGACCAATAAAAATGCTATCTTCGAGGCGCTCAGATATCGTGCCCGTGAACACAGTTTTCAAATTTCGTGGTCGTCGTCTGGATTTCAATCGGTGTCGATCAAGCTGTGTAAGTTTCAGTCACTAATCATGTTTAACGCTGCATGAAATAAAAAGCTGGACATAGTTGCCAGCTATTATGGAAATAGACAGGCTCAAACAATTTGAGAATGACACCGTAACGGAGTATGTGAAATCAAGCAAACTTCTCTGACTTACGAACAAAAAGGCAAGAGCACTGCGAAAAAGGGTCAAAACACAAGCACAGCACAATATGTGGCTCAGCAGACCCTTTCGGCACTGTGCCATCTCTCGGGTAGTTGAAGGACTACATATAATTACTAGGGCGGTAATTTCTCACGGCTAATTTGGCAGCATCTCAACGTCGTACAAACACTCCATCACATAATCAGTGATATATTGGGAAGCATGTTAACGAAATGGTAGAAATTGTATTGTCTAAAGCAATCTTTTGTACTTAACGATATATCTATAGATGTGAGACTTTATTTCATCATATATAATGCCTGTTTCATTGTCTCCAGATGTGGAACATTTTCTTTTGACACGGGGCTCGCGTCGACTCAGTTTTTGAGCACGAATTGGTGCAATAGAAACAATTGGTGCAGCTGGTTGTCCAACGCAATCTTTTCTACTTGAAATTATACCGATAGATATAAGGAAACTTATTTCATCATATGCGCCGCTTGCCTCACTATTTTCTAATGCGGAACGTTTCCTTTAACACGGAGCTGTCATCGACCCAGTTTTCAGCAATAATTCGTACAGTAGCGCTGAAAAGGTCTGAAGCGTGAGCTCGGATCCCATATTCTCGTTTTCTCTCAGTCGACGTAAACTTCCTACCGGCCGACTCCCCGGATGTCGCTTCCGTTTTGGCGTGTTTTGCTGCTTTATCTGTCTGTTGACTTTTTGCTCCTCTGTTGGACCAAAGTCCTCGGACATCCCGATAAGCGCCAAGTGCTTTAGAGCGCCACTGAAGATCCGGCTTTGGCTTCAGGGGTTCGATGCTGGCTCGAATGCTATCACTGGTGTCAATACAGTCCCTTGTAAAATGAGTTGCCAGCTGCGCGGATGACAACGTCTCGCCTGTGAACGGCAGAATACGTTGGTCATGTTCCCGCGATGCCAATACATTTCACCCTACCCGCCTTCGTACCCTGGGCTCCATTTCAATGCATATCAACGTTTCAAATAAATCCAAATTACGGAGGATGTGTATTTTTATTTTCGCTGATCTTTTAATACGTTTAGAATAGCCGCCAGGCCGTCAGTGTTCTCGTTGAAGAACCTTAACCATGGAATGCATGTGGAGTAAGAGCAAGGCTTAAAAGAAGAGCGATATCAGCTTTGATCAATATCACGCATGCTCGTATCTGGAGACAAATATACTTTTGATTTGCACTTCACGTGATTCTCAAACGCGTTTCTCCCCGTTCTTTTACGCTCCACTTGGCCACTTGTTTGCATGCCAAACAGACAGCTCCAATTAAATGGAAGCTGTCTACACCGTTTGTGAAATTCCGACGAGATAGTCCCATATGGAAATTCCCTTATCCCCGCTATTTTCACTTTTCCTGAACGGTTTTGTAATGAACAACGTGAGTTAGGGTGCGCTTGAGTTGACGCGGCGTTCTTTAAAGGCGCACTTCTGAAAACATGGCCAGATGGTGACACCGCATATCGCTGCGCATCTCGCTGCCGAACGTCAAGTGCTCCACGGTCGTGTGGTGGGCTCCGGCCCGACCTCCCCCTGTGGCCACCGGGCGCGCTGGGACGCTCGGCCTGTCATGGACGGAAAAGTGGCGTATAAAGCCGGCCGTATCGATCGTAACTCATCTACCGCCGTTGGCTGCAGCTTTTTACCGCCGCTGGCCAAGTGGACTTGCGTGTTCGATTAGCGTGCGGAAATTACTGGTGGAATGGGCTGTGGTGTAGGCCACGAAGTTGAGCGGAGGCGCTGATTGGACGAATTTCGGAACGGAGAGGCGCATGGGGCGATTTGGAAAGGATCGAACGACTGTTTCCTTCGCGTGAGTGGCTTGGACATTCAATCCTTCTGCAGGAGGGTAAAGTAGCTTTGTGTATACCTCCTTTCAATCTCTTGGCGAAAATCTGTACTACGGGACCTTAACCTCATATCTAAAGTCTGTTTGTATCATGGTTATATGTGTTACACTGTACTGGGGAATTCGACACGTGTAAAAACGTTGGAGTTTCATGAAATGCTGTCTAGGTCTGGCATTTTGAACAGAAAATGCCGATCATCCAACGGGTATCCAAGGACGGCATGAACGCTATATTTCCCAGAAACGTTGTAGGAGTTCAAAGACACCTGGTAATCCATTTGCACGCCTGAAAGTGATTGCACATAAACAGTAGCCGAAAGGAATGGTTTGAGTTACGAGGTGCATTTTAGCACAGTTTATTCGCGAACTCTAAACAAGCGTTTGCTCTTGCAAGCTCTTCCAATTAATTCACTCTGCTCAGCCTTTTACCAAGGACTACATGCCTGCCTCGATTTGCTAATTGACCTGCCTTAAATTGCTCATAACCTTAAAGCGTCAATGATAGCAGATGTCCTTATTATTACGCACCATCTTGGTGTCTAACAGGAACAATGTCGCCAGCAGACGGCGACACTCGAAGCGCACCAGCTGTGTCCAATGACGGAGGGCGCAGATTACCCGGCTGCCCCTGTCCGTCGTCAACATGCCGCGCTCCCCGGAGCTTCGCGCACATATTTTTGCTCGAGGCCTCGTCGCAATAATGGCTCATCTCAGGAGGGCCTCAATATCCGGGGACTAGCTACGTGATGCGGTTTTTGCACAGGGCGGGAGATAATTTCGGCGTCGTTTCCGGCGTTCCCGGGGGCGATTGCTGATTGATTTCTGCGCGCGATGCCCGCGACCCGCTGCCAGAAGTCCCTCGCTGTCCGACGGGCCGCCGCCTTTTTCGTGTCGCGGCCGCCGGCGGGCAATCGGCTCAATCCCGCCCGTCGTCACGGACACGGCTGGGAGACGGAGCGGCCGAGACGGCGGCAGCTGACCCGGAGAGACCCGCAGCCGCCGCCGCCGCCTGCATAATTTATAGCGGCCGCCGCAACGAGCACCGATCGGAATGAAGTCGGCGATCGCGGCTATTAGTGCCGCCTCTGCCTGATTAATCCCGGCGGCGCTGCCAACTCATCGGCGTCACAATCCCCGGCCGGCGATTGGCCGTCGCGGCCGACGGCGCCGCCGACGGCGCCGCGCGTCGTCCTCGACGCTGGCGCCGCGGCCGCCGTTGACCTGGCAGCGGCGCGCGCCGGGTCACGAGGCAGCGGCGTTTTTGCTGCATCGAATCAGCTCGAGTGTCGGCGCTCGGTGCAGTGTCCGCTCGGCCAGCCATTTGTCTCCGAGTAGGGAGATTGCGTTCGCGGCGGCAATCCGAGCCGCCAGTCGGCGCCGAAACAGACGGATACGCGCAGCCGAAATTGAATGGAATACATTAGCCACGTCCACCAGGAGTGGTCCAAGGCGTGACCACCATTGCAGATGCAGGCGATGCGTCCCACGGAAAATTTCGAAGCATGTGGCAGGAGATGTTTTTGAAGGCTTCCGCTGATGTAATTTACGATGTGAAACGCAACGATGGGAGTCC